AGAAGGAAGGACAATGTCAGCATGAATCCAGAGATGATCTGAAGATCTACAGCTGAGCGATGCAATAATAAGATATATTGTTTATTAATAGTTAGGGTACTTGAATGCATTTGAACGCCTGAGTTTAGTGTCAATTTAAGCAGAAAGAATATTTTAACCACCTAAATAAAAGATAACCATTGTAGGCACCCTTGGCAGTGTTATATAAAATAAAAAATGGTCTCGTATGAATACCACCATTGCATGTATTAACTACCTACAGTTATAATTTTCTGTGATAGCAGTCCGATGCTAGGTATAGTAACAGGTTCACATTTGAATCATGACAATAAGCAGCCAATAATCACCTTCTCTTTTCTCTCCATCCGTGAAAGGCAACTGCTACATTTGAGTGCAGAGAAATGTGACACACTTCTCACCATTCCACAATGCAGTGCCTAAAACCCAAGCAGTCAAGCACTAGGCCCTGTCACATGGAAGTAAGCACACACACAGGCTTGCTAAGAACGTTGAAACTTACACAGTGATCTTGGGAGGTGTGGCAGTGGGCTAGGACATCAGGGGAGTGCAGGACAGTACCAACTGCTTATTGTAATTCCAGTAATGTGATCTTGTTAAATGCAGTTTCTCATTAATAGCAGAGGATGAGTTACCTGTCTGAGCTAGGGCATGATATCACTGTAGATGTGGCTAAGGTCCATAAATGTGGAAATTTACAGAGAGCAGTGCACCACCTCTGAATGTATGCATAAACTCAGATAGTGACTTCTAGTGCATTCATTAATAGACACAATAAATAAAGAACACTGTTGAGGTTATCATGGCTTTAAAGGAAATATGTTAAACTGTATCTAAACCCAAGAACAAAGATGTCATATCTGGCAGCTTACCAGTCTTTAGATGTAGTGGCTGCATTAGTTTTCTTTTTTTCTAGCTTTTCTTCTCCTTTATTTTCACCTGGTGATCTGGCCAGTAACACAATTTTTGTCCTACGGTGACAACTGTCACTCATTGTACTGCAGGAAAACCAGTGTTCTCACCCTAGGACAGCAAATCACTTCCTTTCCCCTATCCTCTATAACATGGGAGGGTGTGTTCTGTAGTCCACAAAGAGAACTGGGAACAATACTGATAGCAGTCTGTACAGCAACAAAACACAGGACGTTGTCAGCTCACAAAATGTCTGTCAAGATAAACGTGTAATTTTTGTACTTCTCAAAAATAACATAACAAATTCTATGATATATTCAGCAGACCAAAAGGTAGCAAATAAGAGAACGTCATTGTTAGGGTTTAGATACACTTTAATATTATAGCCAGGGAATGCAAAAAACAAGCACATAAAGATTGCCAAAAGTGGGGTCATATTTTGTACTGGCATACTCTATTCTAGGAATCCTAAAATGCAGAATGTATAGCAGGCATGTCAAACTCTTCAACCCTAAGTGGCTTAAAGGGTTATTAAACACTCGCATGTTTTTGCATATATCTGCTGCTAGCAAGCAGTAGATATATGCAAAACAATTAAAAAAAGAAAAAAAACGTTTTCAAAGGGTTAATACTTATCTGTGTCTCCGCCGCGCGCTCCCGTCCGCACATCTGAAAATTTCTCGGGCGGCCGCCAAGGATCTTGGGGCAGGCGCGTGCGCAGTTCAGATGTTCGGCTGGGAGACGAGGAGAGACACAAGGTAAGTCTATGGAGCAGCGTGCACCCACACAGACATCGTGGGACATCAGAGAAGAGGAAGACAGAGGAGTCAGCGCTGGATCGGAGCCCCTCACCAGCGCTGGAGGGACAGCTGAAAAGGACAGTAAAGAAGATCGGATTAAGAGACATCATTTAAGGTAAGTCCCTACAGCAGGATTGGGAAGGGGGGAAAAAAAAGTTTGACTTTAATGTCACTTTAAGAAAAACACACAAAAAAATGTGCCCCAGCTGATAAGTTCTATTTATAATTTTCTAACTAAATACTTTAGGAAGTGTTTTTTTGACCCATCTCACAGGGATTAAATATTGTAAGTTGCAATTGTTCATATAATGTTAAAGTAACACTAAACTCAGGAATTAAATCTTAAAAATGCATTCAATTACCTTAACTATTAATGAAAATGTAGCTTGTTTATCACTCAACTGTAGATCCTCAAATCATTTCTGTTCTCAGTGGTCCCTGTGTGTGTTGTACAGTAGCCACCACTCTGGGCTCTCTCCGGTTATAGACTATACCTTCCATACAAATTAGTAAACTAAACATGAGATTGTAGCCTATTATGGGATCGAGCTTGGAGCGGTAGCTACTTTACAACACACACAGGGACCATAGGGAACAAAAGCAGCCAACCTCCAGAAGGAAGGACAAAGTTAGTACGAATTCAGATATGATTTGAGGATCTACAGCTGAGTGATGCACAAACAAGATACAGTATTGTTAACAGTTAAGGTACTTAAATGTATTTTTAAGATTTAACTTGTGAGTTTAGTGTCACTTTAACCACCTGATGTCCGGCCGTAATAAAATGGCCGGACTGTGGCTTCCTGGATGGAGTGAACCTTTTTAAAGGTGCTTGTGCCCGCACCCACTCGTGCTGGAAACTGACTATATTTTAAATAGCTGGCGATGCTTGTTTGCATACTATAGAGCCGTCCGATCACTTGTATGCAATCTCCAAAGGCGATCCTGGGCTTCGCTGCACCCTGTGCGGGCCCAGGACTGGCACGGCGGCTCTGTGACTGGAGGGAGATCCGCACACGATCACTCTCTAATTTCCCCTCGGTGTCTGAATGCGGAAGTGATGTGTATTACATCACTTTCGCATTCAGCTGTCATTCGTGGCTACAGAAGCCGGAGAGAAGCTGGTGAAGCAGATCTCTACTTTATCAGCTTCTTTGGGGGTCACTAGGTAACATTAGGGACCAGTCACTGTAAAGTTGCTATCACATAGTTGGATTCTCAGCCCCCTATGTGCTAGCAATGTAGTTAAGTGTGAAAAAAAAGTTTAAAAAAAATTAAAGTCAAATAAAAAATATTAAAGTCACATATAAAAAAAAACACAAAAAAATGTTTAAAGTCCCCCATTCCCTCATACAAACACAAACATATGTTGAGTGTGCCTACATGCAAAGATGACGATTGCGCTCATTGAGCCGCACATGTTACATATCACCGCAAATGTTGGAGCATGAGCAATAATTCTAGGGCCATTAATCATAGTCAACACTAAACTGATGAGCGGTGAAAGCTTATACCGCGTCACCTATGGCCAATTTTGGGTATGGTAGTTTTTTTGCGAATTTCGCAGGCACACTCAAGTTTAAAGCTTGTCATGTTTGGTGTCTATTTACCCGACGTGACCCCATCTTTTATATTTTACCAAAAAATTGGGTTATAATAAATTTTTTATAACAACGTAGGGAAAAATGTTTTTTTGTTAAAAATTTTCCGTACTTTTTTCTTTATAAAGTAAAACATAAAAACCCCAGTGGTGATTAAATACCACCAAAAGAAAGCTCTGTGTCCCCAAAAATATGTATAAATTTCATTTCAGTACAGTGTTGCATGACTGAATAGATGTCAAAGTACCTCAGTGCTATATACAGAAAAATGGCCTGGACAGGAAGGAGGTCTTAACACCCCGGTCATCAAGTGGTTAAGATCCAAAATGTGATAATCGATTTCTGTAACTGAGTAGGCGCGGCCTTCATTAGACATAATGTGCCCCCCCTTGCAGATTTAGTCCTTTCAAATCAGTCCATTGTTTTATCAGAGATTGGCATGCCTGGTTTAGAGTATGCCTTTTGCTTACTATGTACCTCTCTATGTTACTCCAACATTTTTAATACTCTTTTCCACATCCCTCCTATAATTTGTGGATCTAGAGATTAATGCAGTATTCATTCAGGCTCTCTGTAGGAGCACCTCTCCACAACTCAGTACACAAGACGCAGGATATGGACCTTGCAAAAGAGCTCATATCACTTTGCTCTTTAGTCCACCAGAGCCATATAGAAATCTAGTAAAGAGATGATATCCCTGCAAGTTAATTAAGTAGTACAAAGTATACACTAAACTTTTGTACACAGACAGCAGAGGAGGGACCTATAAGATACTAGTAATTTTAGGAACGTTTATGTGCCTGCTCTCGGTAAATGTCTTGGTTATACTCCTTAGAGATTCTGTTTAAAAGGGAATGAACTCCTACTAGGAAATACCTTTTATGGTTTTTTTGTACCACATTTTGCCCAAATTAGCCTGTAAGAATTATTAGCCAACATAATTTAACTTACATGAAAAATTACAATGCATTCTCTAGAAACCCTAGTAAATAATAGCATGTTGCTCTATTAGCCATGAAATATGACTGAACACAATAAACAGTAATCCAAAGCAAAGTATCTGTAGCTGCCTTCTTAAGGGCAAGCAAATTGATGTTATTTATTATTAGTGCTTACATTCGGGCCATCACTTGCAAAAGAAACCCTTCAATATTTGTAGGTCAATTAGAATTTCTTTTTAACTCCTGTATTTGATTTAAAGCATATACAACTGGCATATTTTTCAAGATTTTCCATTTCTCTTCTCAAATGCAGGCTACAAACAATATCAAGGAAGAAGGAATGTCCATACCTATTCTACTGACACATCTTGTCTTTTGATCTTTTCAGTCTCTGAACTTAACGTATATATATTGTATATGAAAGATTATGGAAATTTGGAAGAATTTATTCTATCATAATGACAGCCCGAATTGACAGAAAAATATAAACATGATTAGGATACAAAATCTTAGGCATTTAATGACCACAGTGGGGAAACAATGAGAATGAATCGGAAACTTCATTTTATGTTAATTGTCACAGTGCTCCTTGCCCCTAGGCAATGCTTCAGATTATCACTAGAACTTTCTTTGCTGAAACATGTATCGTGTTTAAAATATGGCATGCAGGTATCAGAATGGACAATGCAGTGATATGTCCCATGTGTGCAGGTGCTTATGTTTTTTTAATACTATGAATATAAAAAGGTTTAAAGAAACTGTACACATTCCGTTTCTCACACAGATGCTTATCAAATTAATTATATAGACCACTGTAGTCTCTTCTTTATGAAGGTTGCACAAAAGCTGTTCAACAGCCTTTCTGGGGTATTACCTAGCAGTATTCCTGGGAAATCAGTTTAGACAATGCAGCAGTGAGGCAGTCATTTTTTTATATACTGCATCCAGTCATGCTGGCAGTACAGAGCAAACGCTGCTCAGCAAGACAATACTATTCTTCTAAGGCCTTTCCCGGGCCATTTAACATCCATTATCACCAACATTTTGCTACACTTTTGCTTCTCCATGGACGCGGAATCGGTAGACACAGGTATATTCGGGATGGCCCCAGTTGCTCTGTATTCTCAGTTCCACTAGCTCATAAGTGGAAATGTTTTCACCCTTCAAAGACAGACAAACAATTAGAAAGATGATTTTGAAATGCAAAGACTAAAAGTACAAAGCAGAACATTGTTCTCAAAGAGAAGTAGCTAAAATATGTAAATGCAACCAAGCCACATTTGCACCTGTTTTCCAATGTGAGAGCAGCTAATAAAGCAATTCCAGAACCTTATGCCTGCAAAATCCTTTAATCTGTGTCTGCCCTCTAAACTACATGCTGGTGATAGGCAGGGAAAACTTCCAATGGCAACATTTGTTCTGGTTCAGGTCTACTCAAATTTGAAATGCAGAGAAGCACTGTTCTTACACAGGAGCTAAATATCAGATTTGTATACTTGGCATTAAGAGACACCTTCGTGTTTCGTGAACGTCCACCAAATACGTAATTTATGTGCTTTGACGTGCGTTCCAGAACGGGTCATAAAATCGCTTCACGCTTGCGGTGCCATTACTTGTTATTGGCATCCCAAACATGGCTGGGAAAATGCGCAAATTAGCTACTTTCCTGCGTTTGTCCTGTGTGCAGCACCCATTTAAAATCAATGGGCGACACGATGCAAATATGGGGGACGCACATTCTCGGTACATTGAGGTGTGGCGGGGCCTAAAGGTTATTTTTTTGAGTATAAAATTTGGTTTATATTATATGGCCATTTCTAAATACAGATAATAACTAGCCCCTTCATATGGAATAGTAACATATGCAACTAATTAAAATAAACAGATATGCATGCTGCATTTATCCCTGGTGGACTGGTCCTCATAATGCTGAACTTGCCTCATCCTCTTTTCTGCCAATACCCCAGCATGGACATTCCACAGTGAAGACACACAAAGTGTGCACAGATTTACACATACTGACAGACCATAGTCAACCTCATATTGACATATGGATGACCACAGGCAACTCCATATTGATATACTGAAAGACTATATCCAACTCCATACTGACATACTAAAAGGCCATATCCAACTGCCATATCCATACTGAAAGACCATAGCCATGTTGACTATGGTAGTACCAAAATAGCATGCTCCTTTGAGAGGGTTTTCATGATTTCTTTGCAAATTATATTTTAGTGACTTTTCTATAGAGGTTTCTGTGCTCGATTACTCTTAAAAAACTGGGCGTTCCTCCTTACAGCTGCTCACTTAAATTGGCTGCATGACCCCGCATTAATATCATCCAAATATGTGAATTTGCGCTGTCACCCAACACAGTAAACAAATAATGTGTTCAAAAACCAAATATAACAGTGAACATTACTTCTGTGGAAAAAAAATATTCAAATTCAATCTTCTTATCAACTGTTTGTGTAAGTCAAAAGGTCTTTGAAAGAAGTCTCTAAAGTGGCCAGTAAAGTAGCAAACGTCCTAAGACTGTCACTGCTAGCTCCGCCCAATTGTTTTTCTTTTGACAGCATGTTTTCAAAATTATTTTTCATTTTCTTTGTTTTGTATTTTCTTTAAACTATTTTAATTTCTTTTTAATCATCATACATTTTAAACCAATTTTTCAACTTTTTTTTTACATTTCACTTATATTGCTCGGTACCTCGACGTAACGTAGAAGCTGAGTCAGTGAGGTCAGAACGCCTGGGCAGAGAGAGGAGGGTAGACCTGACATTTAGGAATGAGATTCTGATTATGCGATTTTATTTGTTTTTTATGTGAGTGTAATCCTTTTAATAAAATATTTTTTTATTGTATACGGGGTGCGCTATGATTTCTACTTCTGTTTTTGAGAGATCTTTTTGAGATGAAGTTGGGCTGTAGGTAGAGGAGAAAACGTTAAGATCAGGATCGGTTTCATCTGAAAGAAGGAGGATCCCGGCATCAAATAGTGTGAGGAAGGAGGTTAATCGTACATGAAGCGCTTTGAGACCCAAGGGTAGGAACACTGAGGTGAGAGGCTTATTTATCAGAGCACTGGTGTTTTTGTGAGCACAGCAAAGGATTTTTTTTTCATGCCCCCTCTGAAGAAGTCCTGTTTGGGGAGGAAATGTTTTAGGGCTAAGGGTGGTGACTGTGACACAGTACCATGGTTCCAGGTTGCTGTGTGGTCTTTGCTGGATATGTGGCATGGTTAAGTCATCATTGAAATGAGCATTCGGTATTGCATACATGTGGATGCGTGATGAACTAAAGTACGGGAGTGTATATATGCAGGCTATGTGAATTACAACACCTGCCGGCTGTTTGGCTAAGTAAGGGGGCTTTTCTGAAGTCTGACCGATGATGGCTGGACACGCAGGCACCATTGTGCAAGATATTTTCGCTATGATGCGGTAAGAGACTGCTTATATTCACATATGGCCAGTGAGATGTTATACGGAGTAAGGATCCCTGCCTATGTATATGTATACTACATGACCTAGAATGACTGCGGGCTGCTGGGCTAAGTAGAAAATTTACTAAAGTTGAAATACAAGCTAAATGTTAGTATGAAGGGATGGGACATTATTGTGCCATGATTGGGTTCATATATGTATACAAAGAAAAGAGATGTCAAATTGGAGATCCATTTTTGAAAAGTAAACGTTGCTAACAGGATACTAAGGCGAGAGATACACTGAGTGGCCAGATTATTATGACCACCTGACGTTTGTAGGCAAATAAGCTATAATTTCGTGCTGAAGTTGCTAGAGGGCCAGACCATTATAAATAGGGAAGAAGGTTGTTTACCACGACATTAGAAGTGATTTTTTTCTGAAGATATGGGTAAACAACGCGATTTAACAGCCTTTGAACGTGGGATGATTGTTGGCGCTCTGAGCCATGGAACGAGTATCAGCAAAACACCAGAATTTGTTAAATGTTCAAGAGCAGCTGTTGTTAAAGTGTTTAAAGACTGGACTGTCAGACGAAAATCTGGGTCTGAACGTGCGAATTGTGGCCGTCAGCGACTAGTCAATGTTAGGGCAGAACGGAGAGTGGCAAGACTGGTACAAGACAACAGAAGGGCAACAGTGCAGTGTCAGATTCCTTGCATCACCTTTCAATATCTCGTGGAGTCACGAGGCGGCTCAACGAAGTCATCTCGTGGAGTCATCTCGTGGCCCAACGAAGTACTGATGGGGTGGTCATAATAATCTGGGGTTTGCAATTACTTATATAGTATCAATATAGGTCACGGGTCTCTTTTTACAAATCTAAATAAATATTTCTGAATACCCTCAAACCTAGAGATCCCATCCATGAGCAAAAAAAGTATTTCAGAACTTATTTAAATTTATATCACAAATTTTAATCTCATATGAAACAACACATGAATCTACATACATTTAAAATACTAAAAAGTTATTATCCCAATCAATGGCTAATAAATTTATTAGCCATTGATGCAACAAATATATCTTGTATAGCCTAATATGGTTTATTCAGATCCGCAGCAAAGTTGGCTGGTGATGTGCCTTCATTCAACCCTGTATCAAACAAATTACTTTTAGCAATGTTGTGGCTTTTACTGTGTTGCTCTGGTATTAAATAGTTGATACTAAGTATAACGTCAAAACAGCTATCTTGTATGTCCTTCAAGTGCTGTGTCCAAATGAACATCCATTAGAGAATCACAGTTTCCAAAAGGAAAGGGGACTTGCAAAAGGGACTTCCGATGTCCAGGAGTAACCCTGTATATAACGACATTAGGCTGTACATCCCCAATACATCCACATTAGTGCCGCTTCAATTGCGATCTCCAACTGGGAAAATATGCGTCATGTACGGCCATACTGATGAAAGATAAATGCGTATTCACTTATCTGTTTCAAACGAAAAGTCAATCAAATCCTTTTCCCATTGGATACAGCAGCCTCAACAATGTTTCTGCTTAGTCTTGAGAACAGTCTCCATGGAGCCAATTCTGTGGTAGACTTTATTGCATTGATCGAGAGTCCTTGTTTTTTCCCCCCTTTGTTTTGTTTTTGTGCTCCCCGCTGCTGACTCTCCCCCAACTCCTATCCTTTTTCGCTGCTCTTGTTTCTCTATTTTTCTTTTTGCTGTCACTATGCCTTCAACTATAGCCTCTGTGAATGTCCGGGGCTTCAATATACCTCAGATACGAGTACAGGTGTTTCGATATTTCCAATCTTTCCATGCGTATTTACTTTGTCTTCCGGAGACCCGATTTTCTCATTATACCACCCCTAATTTTTTTAGTTCCCTGTTCTCCCAACATTATGTGGCTACAGCCTCTACGAGACAGCGTGGCGTTTTAATTGCGTTTCGGTGCTCAGCTCATTTTTGTTGCAAATGGAAGATTAAAGATCCGGAGGGCCGTTATCTCATTATGGTGGGGTCTGTGACGACATGGTCATCAGTTTATGGGTTGAGTATTGGTGTTGGGTTATATTTAATTATGTTATACTGTGTAACCTGTTTATCAAAAGACTGTCAGCACCAACCCTCGTTAGCTCCCTTTGTACTCCAAGGAGCTCAGGACAATGACATTCTCCTGCATCTGGCCACACTCCTGTTATGGCTGGCTGCGGTTCTTTAGCAGCTGGACCCCCTGTGGTGTTGCGCAGTCAGAATGTCTGGGGAGGGCAGGGTGGATGTGATGGGATTATAATCTGATCTAATCACTTTGTGTATAAAAGGTTGCACAGCTGCTCAATAAATCAGAGTTTGTTTCACCCTACACTCGGGTCTCGACTAGTGACTGGGGAAACTGGGAGCTAAAGATCAGCGGGTTGCAATATCTCCTGAGCAAGGAAGAATACAGCGGCGGACATACTCATCCTGAGTACCGGGGTTTGTCACAGGGTCGATCCAAGATTGTCCTGTGACCCTGGTGGCCCCTGGTGTGGAACTGTCTAGTTCTAAATCATTTCGTGATCTGTTGGCATAGTACCACCTGGTGGATGCCTGGATAGAGCTTCATCCAGCTAAATCCGATTTCGTTCTTTTCCTCCCCCCACAACTTCTTCTCTTGCATCGATCATGTTTTTCTTTTTCACACTGCACTTCCCTGCCTATCCTCGGCACGCATTGTACCCACT